GGGTTACGCCACTAATGAGGATATCGGCCTTTCCCATTCGAGACTAGCCCTTAGTGTATGTGTACTGCGTCTCATCAGTCAACGGTGTTGTGACATCGGCATACATAAGTGGGTGATCATAAGTTGATGAGTTCACTGAACTCCCTCATCCTAGAAATCTCTAAGTGGTTCCCAATAATCGAGTAGAGGTTTCTATGATATAGTTGTACACCATTAATCCTTAAGACCCAGACATCACCGTGACTTCACTAGAGGACCAGCTGTATCGTGACCTGTCCCTGAGTTCCATCGAGGACCGCCCCAAGGGCCAGTGTTCGTGTATATTGTAGTAGGAGATTCGATCGCTTGATTAGTCATGGATATCCTGTGTGTTCTTGCGATTTATAATCCATGAAGTCTGTGGCCACAACTGAAAGTGTTGTGATTAGAGAAATGTGTTTCTCTAAGTCAAACACGAAAGGATTATATAATCAAGAATGTCCACATAGTTATTGAACTCATAAGGAGGTCTCGACGAACCAATGCCTCTAGTTCAATTGGGATATATGTATCGAAGGGATCGTACTGTACATTAACTATATCACAAGGTTCTTGCAGGCACTTCATTTGTATATAGGGAATCATGATGCGTAGTTGCTAGACGCCAATCTTGATTCGTTGGGTAGTTAAGTTGAAACTAGCTTCAACTTAATTGTAACTCTAGGGACGTGTTTAAACCACAATGGGTTGTGGGGCCGCGCCTAGCTTACACCTGAACCATCGAGGGTCACACTGCTCGTGTACTTGAGATCCTTAATGCAATGAGCTAAGATTAATTAGTTAATCTTAGTGCAATTGGAAGTCAATGTGATTGAGTCCAACATTCGTAATTGTTAATTACGGATGAGAATAAGTAGAGGAAAAGAATCCGACGGAAATTTTAACTTTCTATATTGGGAAGTTTCCCGATTTGGCAGGTCCTAAATTAGGGTTTCCAATTTGGGAAATTGGTAAATTGCAAAGTGGTACTCGTATCGACGAGAATTTGTGCTCGTTGTCAAAATATAATTGTTATATTATTGTGACCATTCGTTTGTTAGAAACGAGCCGAGAAAGAGAGTGACTTAAGCTGTTGGGCCTAGCCCAACTTAAGGTCTGTTAGGGTTTTCACAATGAGCATATAAATAGGATTTATATGTCTTGTGAAAGACACACAAAAGACGACATAACACAAGCTTGAAACCCTAGCTTCTCTTCTCACGTCCGTCCACCTTGTAGCCGAAACCCTACTTCCGCCACTAGCCGCCGCGTCGCCGCATCGACATCTTCTTTTTCCCTTCGTTCTTCTTAGTCTATCACGTATCTAGTGCTACGTGGATAGTGGATTGAATATACGAGGTGAAACCTAAGAGGAGGAAGATTATTATGTCGCCATGCCGCCACCAGGGTCGTCCCCACGCGCCGCCACAAGCGGTGACGCGAGAAGGCAATTCTGGAAAACTGCTCTCGGATTTTTATGCAGCCCGGCGAGAAAATTCGCCATAAATCAACCGGTTATCGGATGGACGTGAAATGTTGATAGAAGTTGCAAGACTCATAAATCTACAATGTTCTAGAAGAAATTGTCCATGGTGATCTCCTATTAAATGTATCCTGCCAATACCTCACCTTTATTATAAGGTTTTAGAATCATTAAAAGCGTTTTCTTATCCTTTACCCTTTATGCAGGTAGCACTATTATCTTTCGCGGGAATGAGTTAAGAATGAGTTCCTCAGTGCTCGACTGAATTTTCTTAGCTTAGTTGTCCCTTTTGAACCAGTTCTTGGGATCTCCAGTCAGCATGGTTGGGTTACCACTAAGATTGTCCTTAATTGATGGGTTTTAATCCCATTCCCCTAGATAGGCATTGTAGTTGATCTCTTGGTAAACCTTTTGTCAACGGATCCGCTAAATTGTCTTTAGACTTTACATAGTCTATAGAAATTACTCCATTTGAGATCAATTGCCTTATGGTATTATGTCGGCGACGAATGTGTCTAGACTTACCATTATACATGTTGCCTTGTGCCCTTCCAATTGCTGATTGACTATCGCAATGTATCAATATTGACGGCACTAGTTTATTCCAACACGGAATATCTTCTAGGAAATTACGAAGCCATTCCGCTTCTTCTCCAACTTTATCTAAAGCTATGAACTCCGATTCCATTGTGGATCGAGCTATACATGTTTGCTTTGTAGATTTCCATGACACAACAGCTCCACCTATAGTGAAAACGTAACCACTAGTGGATTTTGAATCTTTAGTATCGGATATCGAATTAGCATCACTGTATCCTTCTAGTACAGATGGATATCTCGTATAATGCAAACCAAAATCTACAGTATATTTCAAGTATCTAAGTACTCTAGTTAGTGCATTACAATGGTCATTTCCAGGATTGCTTGTAAATCTACTTAATTTACTAACCGAATGAGCAATGTTCGGACGAGTGCAGTTCATGACGTACATTAGACTGCCTATGATTTGAGAATATTCCACTTGATCCACTGGTTCTCCACGATTTTTGGCTAAGTGAATTTTCAAATTGATTGGGGTCGTAGCAGGTGGACTATCAAACATTTTAAACTTTCGTAGTACTTTCTCAATATAATGAGACTGAGTAAGAACTAGTCCATTGTCATCTTTGATAATTTTTACTCCCAAAATTACATCGGCTAGACCCATATCTTTCATGTCAAAATGTGTCAATAACATTTTCTTAGTTTTCACGATTATCTCATGATTACTGCCCATAATTAACATGTCATCCACATAGAGACATATAAGCAAAAATTTATTTGGTGTGTTTTTAATGTATACACATCTATCACACTCATTTATTTTAAAATCGTTTGCTAGTATTGCTCTATCAAAATTTTCATGCCATTGCTTGGGAGCTTGTTTTAGTCCATAAAGTGAATTCACAAGTTTACATACTTTGGACTCTTGTCCATGAGCAACAAACCCTTCGGGTTGTTCCATGTATATTTCTTCTTCTAATTCACCATTTAAAAAGGCTGTCTTGACGTCCATTTGGTGAATTTCTAGATTGTGCAAAGCAGCAATTGCTAGAAGTACTCTAATTGATGTGATGCTCGTTACGGGCGAATAAGTATCAAAGAAATCTAGACCTTTCTTTTGTCTAAATCCTTTGACTACTAATCTTGCCTTGTATTTATCAATCGAGCCATTGGCTTTGTACTTTCTTTTGAGAATCCATTTATAGCCCAACGGTTTATTTCCCGGAGGTAGATCAACCAATACCCACGTATGATTTTGCATAATCGAATCAATTTCACTATTGATTGCTTCTTTCCAAAGCGGCGCTTCAGAAGTGGAGAAAGCTTCCTTTATGGTCCTTGGATCATTTTCCATAGTATATGTTAGGAATTCAGGTCCAAAGGACTTAGCAATTTTTGCCCTAGTACTTCGTCTAGGTTCTTCATCACTTTGAAGACCACCATTAGCAGTTTCATATGTTCTTTTGTTAGAACTAGTTGCTGATTTTTCTTTATAGGGAAATCTATCCTCAAAAAATGCAACATTTCTTGATTCAATGATTGTGCCTTCATTCATACCAAGAACATCAGACTTGTGTATTAAACATCGATATGCACTACTGTTGTTTGCGTAACCAATAAAGATGCAATCAACAGTTTTAGGCCCAATTTTTATTTGTTTTGGTTTAGGTACTTCTACCTTAGCCAAACACCCCCACACTTTTAAATATTTATAGGACGGCTTGTGAACTTTCCATAATTCATAAGGGGTTTCTTTCTTTTCTCGGTGCGGAATCTTATTAAGAATATGATTGGCTGAGAGGAGTGCTTCCCCCCACAAATTCTGGGGTAAACCCGAATTTAGTAACATTGCATTCATCATTTCTTTAAGAGTCCGATTTTTGCGTTCAGCAACACCATTTGATTGGGGTGAGTAAGGTGCCGTAGTTTGATGAATAATGCCGGTTTGAGAACAAAATTCATCAAATGGAGCACCATATTCTCCACCTCTATCACTTCGAATCATTTTGATTTTTCTCCCAAGTTGATTTTCCACTTCAACTTTATAGCTTTTAAAAGTTTCCAAGGCCTCGTCTTTGCTCCTTAGCAAAAACACATAACAATATTTAGTGCAATCGTCAATAAATGTAATAAAATATTTCTTTCCTCCTCTAGTTTGCACGAATTTTAAATCACAAATATCACTGTGAATCAAATCTAGAGGTTCCGTTATTCTTTCAACATAATTAAATGACAATTTGGTCCTTTTTGCTTCTACACAAGTTTCACATTTCTTTTGAGAATCGAATTTAAGATGAGGTAGTAGTTCTAAGTCTACTAATTTTTTAAGTGTTTTAAAATTCAGATGTCCTAATCTAACATGCCATAATTTAGAACACTCTATCAAGTACATAGAATTAGTAATTTTATTATCATCAAGCTTGTGAACAAGCGTCATTACATTCATCTTAACAAGGCCGTTATCAACATAGCCTTTCCCTATAAAACAGCTATTCTTGGTGATAATTAATTTCTCAGCCTCAAGAACTAACTTAAAACCAGCCTTAGTGAGCAGCGTTCCGGAAATTAAATTTTTACGAATGTCCGGAACGTGCAGTACATTAACCAAAGTGAGCTCCTTCCCGGAGGTGAGCTTCAAAATAACCTTTCCTATGCCTACAATGCCCGAGGTTGCAGAGTTTCCCATGAGCACTCTTTTACCGTTGATTGGAGTGTAGGAGGAGAACGACTCCTTGTTGGAGCATATGTGGCGAGTTGCACCCGTATCGAGCCACCATTCCTTGGGATTGTCCACCAAGTTAGCTTCAAAGACTACGGCACACAAGTTGAGATCGGACATGTCGATAGGAACACTTTTGTCTTCGACCATGTTAGCTTGCTTCTTGGGTTGACGACAATCCTTTGCCATGTGATTTGGCTTGCCGCAATTGTGACACGTTCCATTGAACTTGAACTTCTATGGCTTCCATTTTACTTTGCCGTTGTTGCTTCCATTTCCACCGCCACTAACACTTCCTTGAGCCTTCCTTTTCTTGCTAACCTGCATGTTTGGTTCCATAAGGTGTGCTTTAGCCTCCATTTGCTGCTTGCCGGTTTTGGACTCGGACTTTCGATTATCTTCTTCAATCCTTAACCTCACGATAAGATCTTCATGCCCCATTTCCTTGCGTTTGTGCTTGAGATAATTCTTGAAATCCTTCCAAAGCGGTGGTAGTTTCTCAATCATTGCAACAACTTGAAAGGATTCACTCAACCTCATTCCTTCGGCATGAATATCATGCATGATGAGTTGCAACTCTTGGACTTGGCTCATAAGAGTCTTGGTATCCACCATTTTGAAGTCCAAAAACTTCCCGACGATGAATTTCTTCAACCCGGCATCTTCGATTTTGTACTTCTTTTCTAAGGACTCCCTTAGTTCCAAGCATCCCACGCAACTCTCGTTTCCAAGGTAGCGTTCGCATTAGGCACAACGGGAGGTGCTTCCGTAACGAAAATAACCAAGTTGATAGTGGTGAGGTAAAAGAGCGATTTTCGTTGCCAACGTTTGAAATCGATACCTTTGAATTTCTCTGGTTTTTCTATATGAGTGGCGACATGAGGGTATGGGGCTGGACGAATGATGCAGCAGAAGGTTCAAGTTTGTCGAATAAACTGATTTCATTGACAAGGATATAAATTTCGTTCCATATACGGTTAGAAAGCTCTCGAAGTCTAGTTTCCAACAAAAAAAACGGTTTATGAAACAAAGGTCCGAGGAGGAAGTTATGGTCAATGTTCTAGAACCTGCCAACTGCACTCGGGAAATCCGAAGGTCTTGTGTCTTTTGGTATTTCTTAGTGTTCTACTTGTTTTATTAGTCTAAGTTCGAATTATTCATCTTGTTATCCATTAATCAGGTCATATTCTATGTATTTCATGAGTCAAGGTCAAGCTTATTTATTTTTCTAGAATAAGAAGTTGTGAAGTCATTCAAAGTGTAACTTCCTATGTTTGGAGGGATGTTCCAAAACACCTATATAAACCCTATCCATGAATAAAATTAGGAGGATGATTTTAAGTTTAAAAATATATTGCAAGTTAATTGTATTGAGAGTGAGTGATTCCTCTTTAAACAAGTGAGAGACTTGGTCGCGTTGAGTGATTCCGTGATTAGTAGCGTCGAGTGAGTCCGCTGCCGCCGGTTGAGTGATTCCCGGTCACTGTTGGGCGATGACCTACACGCAAGTGCACGTATCGTACAAGTAATATAGTGGACTAAAAGTCCGGATATCGAACCCACAGGGAATATTTAATTATCTAATCCTAGACGCTAAATTCTACCAATTGTTATCAAGCCCACCCTACACAGTCGAAAGATGATTAACTAAATTAAACTAAATTAAAAGCAAGCAAAAACAAGAAAGCAAATTAAAACGAAGATTTAATCAAGAGAAAACGAGCCTAGGATTATATTCTTCCCCCTATGTGATTATTACTCCCCCAATTCCTTCAATTATGCAAGTAATTAACCCGGATTATTAACCTGAGATGCTAAAATAATCATAACCCGCTTCCGCGTGTATTACGATTCTAATACTCTAGATTCAATTACTATATTCCTATGCAATTAATTCTAGAACACAACATTAAGCACAAATCTCAATAATGGCTACCTAAGAGATTAACTATATTCCTATGTTAATACCACAAAGGCTCTTCTACCACAGTTCTAATTATTAACCCGATCTTCCGATTCATGCGATTAACAATAACATAAAAGCACATAAGTTGATCAAGTTCATGCACTTAATAAAACAAGTAGAAGAAATAATCCGGAATTAAAACTTGCATAAAATCATAGAATTGGGTTCATAAATCCCACATAGGGTTCCAAATAAAATCCTAGAAATAAGTAATTTAGCTACTCATGATTAAAGGAAAAACGCAAATAAAATAAATCATAGACGATAAATCTATGCTTGGAGTCTTCGAATTCTTCGTCTTCGTTATTGCTTTGTTGCTCTTGAAATTGCGTAAAAAAGATCCCTAATTGTGTGCTTGGATTGGTCTTATATAGGGTGAAGAACTTGGGGAAGAAGGCAGTTTCCTTGTGCAATTAAAATACTTTCACTGCGCCAACACGTCAACCCGGACGGCCGTGCGAGAATAGGCTTTAAAATCCGGACGGCCGTCCGGCTCTTAATTCTCCAGAATTTCTATTTTTTCACTGTTGGCCCACTTTTTCTCCGAATTTGCAGTTTTGACCCCATACTTTTCCAATTCTTCAATTTGTACCTAAAATACAATAAATCAACTTTTTAAGCACCAATTATCATTAAAACACACCAAAAGCTCAAATAAAAAGATACGATAAAATGTAAAAATATACACTTAACAGTCACCTATCATTTTCTATCTTTTTTCCGTTGTGGGTTTTGGCCTGCATCAACGAAACGTTGGTGGTAGAACCGGAGGTGGAACAACACCATTTGGAGGAGGAACATGAACATTCGATGGCTGCACTCCTTGGGTTGGTGGATTAACATTCTGGTTTTGCGGCAGGTGTTGTTGTCGTTGTTGTCTCCTTCGGCCATTTTGCAGATTGTGATTTCGTCTTAAGATTGTTGGAATAAATCTGCTAGTAATGAATATTTGCCGAGGCGAAGACGAAATTTCCCCGCAACGGTGCTAACGGCTTGAACGGAAATCGTCTCCCAAGATACAACGGCAAGGCTTGGAATAGGAGCACTCCAAATCCCAAGTACGACGAACTGTACTTTGTGTAGAATTTTCGAGAGAATCTGTGAAGGGTAGGCTAAATATGCAGTAGGTTATTTTTGGATTGAAGTGAGGAATTATGAGAAATACGGGGTCTATTTGTAAGGTTTAAAAAGTAGTGTCATTTGGAGTAAAAATGTACATTTTTGGCCGAATGGTTGCACCATTTCTCGCGTTGAGCCGATTGGGAATGGTTGCACCATTTCGGATTGAGCCGATTGGTTTGCATTGGTTCGGCCGCACCAATTCAAACCAGTCAGACCATTCGAGAGTCCAATGGGTTGACGGCCCATGACCTAATGTTTTTGGCCCAAAAAAGTAATGTAGTGATTTGGGCTCAAGGCCAAATCAAATCCGATCCTAACGAACGAGCGAGCAGGCCGACGGCGGCGGCGCGCGCGCATGTATCGAAACACATAACATACAGGCCTTTATCCATACAAAGTTGAATGCCCAAAGGGCGTGACCCTTTGTCCCAACATTTAGATATATATATACAGCTTCTCTACCTTTCCAATGTGGGATAGCTCAAAATCCCATTTTCCTTATATATTGGACTAGTAATTTTTCATTCACCACAAAATTAGTTTTATATTATTCTAATCCAAAATTGATTTGTATAATCAATTAGACCATACGTACAATAATATTGATAAAAAATGTTCATAACTCAATTTTTAACTAATTTTCCCAACAAAATCGAACCGAAAACCCATAATTGGGCCGTGTTTTTGGGCCAGGCGGTGTAGATCCTGGTGGGGATTCTTCCCCAGGAGGTGGAGGTGGCCCATAATCGAAAGCTCGACTGGGCCCGGTGGATTCTTCTTCTTCTTTTTCGCAAGGCCGAGCAGTTTCTGAAGGAGATAAACAAATACAATCGCTGAAAACATTGTTAAAATCCACTCCATATTTTTTCCACTGGTTCTGAAGTTGAAATCAAAGGTGCATGGTATTTAATGAAGAAAGCCTTTCAAAGTTGACTCTTTCTGTAAATTATAATCACGTGAGGAATATATTCTTAGAGCAACTCCAATGGCTAATCAAACCTTTAACCATTATTTACACACTGAAAAATAGAAATTTTTAACTTCAGTGTGATTATCAAATTAGGGTTCTATCTTAATAATTCAATTCTTGGATTATAAATATACTTGCTGAAAATTGAGTTATCAAAAATATAAATATCTAAACATCCAATGATAAATTGACATGTGACAATGACAAATAAAATCAATTCATAAACTTTCAATTGATAATTAATTTGATAATCATGGTTGGAGTAACTATATTTTAATTAAGGGGAAATGTGAGATAACCCCCTAGTTTTGAAAACATATATGAGGAAGTCCAAAGATTTTTTTTGTCCTAGTCAAAAACCCAAATTATAATCTTAATTTGTGAGACCCCCTGAAGCATTTAAAATACCTATTTTACCCTTTTAGTTTAAATTCAATTATTACCTTAACCCACCCACAATCAAGCCAAACATCGTGTTTCTCTTTTCTCTCAAATCTCATTCTCTTCCATTTCTCTATATCCAAACCCTCCGCCGCCCACCGCCGCTCACTGGCTCCCACTGACGCTCCGACGCTCACTGACTCCCACCGACGCTCCGCCGCTCACTGACTCCCATCGACACTCCGCCTCTCGCTGCAACCCATCGCCACTTTGAATCGAGTTCAGTACCACCGCCGCTCACTGACTCCCACTGACGCTCCGACGCTCACTGACTCCCACCGACGCTACGCCGCTCACTGACTCCCACCGACACTCCGCCGCTCGCTGCAACCCATCGCCACTTCGAATCGAGTTCAGTACCATGTTTATGCATTTCTTTTTCTCTACAAGAAAAATCCAAGTGGAGCCGTTTGAATATTCATGACAAAGATTTACGAAACATGGTCTGTGTTCAAAAATTTATTGGAAGCCACGAGTTATTAATCAAATTGTGTTCTTATTCAGAGGCTCTCACCGCCGCTACCGCCATTCCCCTTTGACTTGCGCATTTTTGGAAGAAATTGTTTTCCTCCACAGCACACTCAATCATCTCTCTCTCTCTCTCTCTCTCTCTCTCTCTCTCTCTCTCTCTCTCTCTCTCTCTCTCTCTCTCTCTCTCTCTCTCTCTCTCTCTCTCTATATATATATATATATATATATATATATCATCTTTTGTATCTCTCTCTATATATATATTATTAATTCATGGATCAGAAACAAAAACATGAATTGGTACAAAATCTAATATTTTAATAATATAAATTGAGGCCATGACGGGTTTAAAGTTTGGTTTCAGAAGAGACGAGCAAGGTAGGTAGATAATATTAAAATCACTAAACTGTTTGTTTCTCTTCTTTTCTTCAATTTCTCTTGATTGGATGTTCATGTCGAACAATGATGCGTTCTTGGAGATGTTGATATGCTGTTCTTTTATTTTAATAAAATTTAATTGCATAGGGAATATGAATTTTTACGCTACTTCTTGAATGAGGAAAGTTTTTGGATTGATTGTGCAAACTTTGGTCACATTGTTGCTTTGATTTGATAGCCGTACGTATACGTATAAGGTTTGATGTAATTTGTATTTTTCATATGTTCGTTTTTTCTAACTCGTATTTTTTTCCCACATGAATTGTTGTTTTTGCTACTTTTATACAATAAGGAATGATGGTGAGAAGTGAGCTATAAAGTGAAAATTCAGAGTACATAACACTATAGATGACTATAGTCATAAATAGTAACATATAGTACCATGTAGTCATGTACATATAGTCATATATAGTCACATGCAGTCATGTACATATAGTCATATATAGTCACATGCAGTCATATACATGTAGTAATATATAGTAACATATAGTAACATTTAGTAACATTTGCATGTGACTGTGTATTTCACTATATATGACTATACTTTTATAGATAGTCACATGTAGTCATATATAGTCACATGTAGTCATATACATGTAGTTATATTTAGTCACATGTAGTCATATATAGTCACATATTGTCATATAGATATAGTCATACATATTCACATGTAGTTATATATAGTCATATATAAGTTATGTGGTGATTCTGATGTATAGTGATGTTGATGATTGCGTTTTTTCAATATTTTGTTGGGTGCGAATTGATTTATAATATCATTATTCAAATTTTGAATTTTGTTGGAGATGTAGATGAATTTTTTTTTTTATAAAATCAACGATATATATAATCGGTCGACCATAACTTTGGGTAAAAAGACAGTACATGACTATAGTCTTATATAATCATATGTAGTCATATTCGTAACAGTGAAGTTTTCGGGAAAAAAAATCAGAAAAAAAAAAGCTAAAAAAAATAAAAAATAAAACTTATATAGTCATATATAGTCATATTCGAAACAGGGAAGTTTTCGGGGAAAAAATCAGAAAAAAAAAAAGATAAAAAAAAAAAATAAAAAAAAAAAAATAACGAAAATACTAAATGCAGTAGCAAAAATGCTGAATGCAGTTGGGCGAAAATAGTAAAATAAGGGCACAATAGTACTTTTCCCTCTCTAGGGGTTATCTCAAAGAAAGAATTTTAGGGGTGGACCTATCCCTATTTATTTTCCATATGAGGGGTGTATATCTAATGGACCCTTTAATTAATATTAAAATATTATTTCAAATGTGAAATGAATATTGCCATGTGATACTTCAAACATTTTGCCAACATGTAGGAATCTTTCGTCGATATTACAACTCACAGTCTAATTTGTTTTAAGTGACCATGTTATATAATAATCTCGATATCCAATATTTATATTTCCATTTTTATATTTCCAATATTTTTAATATGTAGAAAATCTGATATGGTGCAGATCATTTGGATCTGTTTCACGTTCTTCGCCTTATTAATTAAAGTTTCTGTCTGATTTATTAACCCCTGAAGAATTAAAAAATTAAAAATCCATACCGAAGGTGTGACAATATTTTATCAATTTATTTTAATCTTATATATAAAAGAAAAAAATGTTAGGAAACCTAAAAAATTTTAATAGTATTTCTGTAATTATTTATTTTTAGTATTTTTTCTCTACTGCTTTGTAATTATATTTTGGGGTCATTAGCAATAAACCCCTCATATAGATAATAAATGGTAATATGTCCAACCCTTAAATCTTTCTTTGTGATAACCCCCTAGAGTTTGTATTTCCAATTCTACCCTTATGTCAATTAACATAATTAGTCTCAATTATTCCTTTTTTCACTCTTTCCATAACAATAATCTAATTCCTAAAAATCTACTTCCAAATTTCAAAAAATTTGCTACCAAATCAAAAAATAGGATTTTTTTTTTGTATTATTTTCGGATTTTATAGCCACTTTTTTATTATTTATTATTTTTTAATATTTTTTTAATAAAAAAATATATTTTTTTAATTTTTTTTAAACAAAAATTTGATTTTTTTTTTCTCGACAGATTTACAACTCCGAATATGACTATAGTTGAATATGGCTATTATGTGACTACGCTGTGCATAATAGTGTAATTAACATATTGTAGAAGCATAATTATTAATATAACAGTTAGAATATGACTACTATGTGAATGTGACTGTGCTTTGTAAAACATTATAATTAACAGACAGTAGAAACATGAATATGACTATTATGTGACTACAGTTTGTATAACATACTGAACATGATAGTGGGAATATGACTATTATGTGACTAGCAACTGCGTAATGTGACTACAAGTAATCAGCACTTGAAAAAACTTGCAATATTAACAGCAAAATACATTGCAAAAAGAAAAAAAAAAGGACTATGAAAAAACGAAAATAACTAATGTGATCCTTCAACAATGGCCATCGAACATGTTTTTTTGTTGCGGTATCCAACTCGGTTGCACCGACTGCACTTAATCTTCCGTTTGATCTTCTCTGTTAAATATGACTACACAGTTGAACATATGCAGCACCACAAAAAAAAAAAAAAACAAATATAACTAAGTTGTTAAACATGACTACTCTGTCAAACGTGACTACTCTGTAAAATACATTGCACCACAACCGACTAATCTCGTAATTCAATAGATTTTCCAGATCTAAACATTCAGGATATGTAGAATAACACAAAAATTAATATAATCAAGAATAATTGAAAATCAATGTATTCGTTCATAACAAACAAATAATAGAACTAAAAATCCAGATCCATGACATATTCTATTGCTAGTTCGACAATTAATTCGAGAAAAATAAAAAATAAAATTTACCAATTAATATAGTATATATTGGTATTCCGCGTTGAGAGAAGGGAAATCTCCATATAGAAATCCGACGGAGGCAGCGACAAGGTGGGGGAGGCGCCGCCGCCAATTGTACCAGGCGTCGATGTGGTGGTGTTCGACGAGGGGGGAGACGATCTCCAACATCGGCGGAGAAGGGCCTCCTGCAACGGGTTTCGGCGGCGGCGTTTGAAGGGTGACTCCGGCGGCGGCGGTCTACAGATGTGAAGAAGAAGAAAAAAAAAAAAAAAAAAAAGAAAAAAAAAAAGCTGTAACAGAGAGAAATAGCGAGAGAATGAAAGAGAGAGAGGCGAGAACCGAGAGAATGAAATTGAGGGAGAAATAAAATTGTATTATATTAAAACCCTAACACACAAGGGCACTTTAGTCTTATCATGGCTGGTAAGGGGGGTCTCACTAATTTAGATTGGAATGTGGGTTATGGGAAAAGTCTTTAAAGTCAATTGGGTTTAGTTCAAAATATTTTCTAAATAAGGGGTGTATTGCATATTTCCCCTTATATTTTTAAGAATTATCAAAATTGAAATTAAACCGTGAAGAATCCTAATCTAATTATACTTCTGTAATTATTTATTTTTAATATTTATTCTCTACTAATTTTCTAACTATAATTTTCAACAATTATCAATCTCCTATTTTTCTCAATATGTCTCAAATCTTAAGAGATGAAAATAGAAGTACTATTTTTTAAATCTTAAACTATATATTTGGCTTATAAATCTTAATATGTAAGATTTAAAAAAAAATAATGTTATATAAAATATAATTATTTTTTTTCGCTTTTAAAATAATATTTCATGCATCGCACGGGAAAAAAAATGCTAGTTTCTTATTAAAGTCAATGGATTGGTGGTATTAAATGTTCTCGAATGCTATTTGCAGACGACAATGTGATATTGCAAGTATTTTCTTTTAACAACATAATTCTTTAAAAGAAACATATTCTCTTGTCATTTATATGATTTAAATTTATTTGATTATATGATTTAAACATTAAACTATATAAAGTTTATTTAATTATACCATTATATTTACTTAAAGTAATTTTACACTGCATTTCATTATATTTTATTTGTTTATTGTTTAAATTAAAAAAATAATAATAATAATTAACTAAAGAGGCTTCTTATTGATTTACTAATTACTTCAACTCTACCAACCCCCACCCCCAATAGATCAAGGGTGAATTACAAAAAAACACCTAAACATAAGGTAAATAATGAAAAACAGTCCACATATTCGCAATAACTAATATTCCCATCTAATTAACTGTTGATCAATTTTTTTTACAGAAAACGTGTACATTTTATTATAACTTCTGTTAAATAGTTGAGAAATAAAAGAAAATATCTGAAATTGTGGAAAATCTATTCCCTGAAATAAAAAGAATCCGTGAAAAGTAACTCTGTAAGGGGTTCGTGTAAGACAAAAACAAACCTTAGGGAATTTTTGATAATTACTAATAGATGGGAAGTATTTTGTTATTTAGCTCAAGTTCAAGGAGATTTTCGTAATTTACCCGTAAATCAAATATTTTCTGTACATATACAGAGACAGAAGTCAAAACATACACACACCTTCGGCTTCATTGATAATTTCACTTCATATTCTTCTGCATATATCCATGGAAACAAACCCCCCACCCCCACCCGGCCCCCACCCCCACCCCCACATCGCCATTCTCCCCACCCCAGGGATTGGCCACCTCATCCCCTTAGTCGAATTCGCCAAAAAACTCCACCACCGCCACTTCATCTCCACCACCTTCATCATCCCCACCGACGGCCCTCTCTCCACCGCCCAAACTACCTTCCTCTCCGCCCTCCCCTCCGCCGTTGACTACCTCCTCCTCCCCCCGGTCAACCTCGACGACTTACCGCCGGACGTCAGAGCAGAGACACGCATCGCCGTCACCGTCACCCGTTCTCTGCCGTCAATCCACGACGCCGTCAAGTCCCTCCACGCGTCCAAGAGCCTCTCCGCCCTGGTGGTGGATCTCTTCGGCACCGACGCCTTCGAATCCGCCGTCGAACTCAACATCCCTCCTTACATCTTCTTCCCCTCCACCGCCATGACCCTCTCCTTGTTCTTCCACTTGCCGGAGCTGGACCGAACGGTGTTGTCCGAGTACCGTGACGTGCATGAGAAGCTTCAAATCCCGGGATGCGCTCCGATCCACGGCCGGGATTTGATCCAGCCGGTTCAGGACCGGACGAGTGACGCGTATCAATGGGTGCTTCGTCATGCGAAGAGGTACCGAATGGCGGAAGGGATAGTGGTGAACACCTTTCAAGAACTCGAGCCCGGCCCGGTTCGGGCTTTGCTTGTCAAGGAAAATGGTAAGCCCGATGTTTATGCAATCGGGCCTTTGATCAAAATGGGCTCAAGTAATCCCGAGATTAACGAATCCGATGCTATAAGTGTGAAGTTCTTGGATCGACAACCCAATGGATCAGTTTTGTATGTTTCTTTTGGGAGTGGTGGGGATTTATCACATGATCAAATAGTTGAGATAGCACATGGGTTGGAGAAGAGTGGCCAAAGGTTTTTATGGGTTCTTCGATGCCCTAACGCAAACCCTAATGCTTCATATTTCGACATTCAGAGCTCCGGTGACCCTCTGGCTTATCTGCCACAAGGGTTCCTGGAGAGGACCCAGGATCGGGGCCTGGTGGTGCCGTTGTGGGCCCCACAGGCCCAGATCCTGACCCACAAGTCCATTTGCGCTTTTCTGACGCACTGTGGGTGGAATTCAGTTCTCGAGAGTGTTTCCAGTGGGGTGCCGATGATTGCGTGGCCGCTTTACGCGGAACAAGGGATGAATGCGGTGATGCTACATGAGGATGTGAGGGTGGCTTTGAGGCCTCGTGTGGGAGAAAATGGATTGATTGTGAGAGATGAAGTCGCTAGAGTTGTTAAGGGTTTGATGGAAGGTGAAGCAGAAGAAAAGGAGATTCGTGGTCGAATTAGGGATCTCAAGGATGCAGCTGCAAATTCGCTAAGTGAAAATGGTACATCTACAAAATTTCTTGATGAATTAGCTGAAAAATGGAAAAGAAACAATTCTTGCAAATAATTTCAAGGTCCATTTGGATAGAAGGATATGGAGGAGGGATTTTTAATCCATAATAACAAATCTCTTGCATTTGTTTGGATTGAAGAATTTGCCACGGAATTTCAACTCCCAACCCCTATTTTTTGTTATAAATGGAGCAACTTATATATGGCAAATGTCTCCGAATTGGAGTTATTTCAAATTCTTCCTCCAGATACTTTCTCCAAATCAAACCCTTCCATCCAAATTGTGCCTAAAATTATGTTTGGCGCTTATTTTTCACAGAGGTGCATGATTCATGTGTACTGGTAATTTACTTGTTTTTTCCCTTTTTCCTTTCCCTTTTGTTGTGGTTGGGGTTGTCATTGAAAATGTCATATTATTACCGATTAATTTCCTGTAATTGAGTTTATACAAATTGGATGGTACTATTAGTACTTCACCCGTGAGCCCTAACAACTCCGAATAGTTGTTTGAACAACGAGTTACATTTACGTATCATTAGTATCAATTTGGCATGTTGGGAGCGATGAAAGAAATATCTTATTAGCCTTTACTACTTTTCGAAGGGGTATAATTTTCTTCTTTTAGAAAATAATTAATAAAAACTCATGGTAACCATTCGAGCCGATGAAATTAGTAACCTCTGGACTTTGTCTGAACTTTTTTGTAAAAGAGTTTTTGGTCTGGTCTCTTTATGAATAAGTAGCCGATGATGAGCTTATTTGTAACAACCCCTTAAATAAATGGCAATTTGCTAAACGTACACCCTTGAAGTTAAACTTCCTTTTATAGCAGGATAGTCATATTCCTTCGGGCAGCAGCATAGTTAGAGAGCTTAGACTGAAAATAGACATTTTAGATTGTAAATAATTTATTCTCCTCCACCTCAACCATCACCAAAACGACATCCACTCCAAAAAATGGTGTTTCTTCGACTTATCCGCCTCTCCCTATCAGTCCCCTGCCGTCGACGACTTAATTTCCATCTACCATGTAACTGGAACATGTTGCTCTCGTTGGTCTCAGTTCTTCTTGTAACTGGAACATGTTGCTCTCATTGGTCTCAGTTCTTCTTTTGAGTCTAAGATGTCTACTTCTAATCCAAATTCTCCAACTAAGTTGTCCATTTTCTGATAAACATTTTTTTCTCCTTTTTTTGTCAGTCTAAGCTCTACAACGAAGCTGTCTATTTTTAGTTTAAACTGTCTATTGTTGGACTAAGTTGTTTAACTGAGATGCGCGATGGAACTTAAACAAATTCAAATATTCAGGCAAACGTTTAGCTATATAATTTTTTTTGAAGAAGTTTTAACCAAATTTATTTTTACTGCGGATAAACTTTTTCCGAAAATTCCGAAAAAATCGGAATCGGAATCAATTTTTGAATTCCGAAAAAATCGGAATTGGAATTGGAAGGCGTTTTGGATATTAATTCCAATTCCAAAACGTTCGGAATCTAGAAATTCATCATAATTCCAAAATTTATGGAAATTTCGGAAATCACGTAAATTTGAACATTTTTATAAAATTTTAGAAACTTTCATAATTTTTCAAAAATAAGAAAATCCACTTTCATAAAATCATAAAACCAAAAAAAAAGATACATTTATTTCCATAATACATCGATGTAATGTTTTAAGATATGATAGTTTTAACAAAGGCAACTCACTCCCAACATATTTTCTTGATGAGAAGAACACATGCATTAAAGAACAATAGCTTGTGGAAGTTGTTGTACAGCAAACTTTCTAGCCACTACAAGCCCAGCAGCCAAAGCAGCCCCAAAAACAGTGTGCAACCTCACACACAAATACTTCCCCATGAATATCTTTGTTTTATCCTACAAACACAATCAACATCCAATTATAAAATGAAACAATTATTTATAGTAGAAATTAGCCTTGAAAAAATTAAAATATTAATTAGCTCACCATATGGTTCTTCTCAACAAAACTAACCACTAAATTTCCCATTGGTAGTGTCATAGCACAAAGAATCTGGAGAAAAAGGAACGATCAGAATAGTAGAACAGCAGATCGAGTAACGTTTTCGTTAACCAAAAGAAATGTACGTAGTGTAGAGTACTTACAACACTTGCAAGAGGGAGATTTTGAGTAAATCCTAAAACCAAAATAATAGAATACAGTCCCACAACAGCAAATTTTACTACTCTCGAACCCGTTTCGGTGCCGAGCCTGACCTGTTATTTCAATTTTATCGAGTAAGCGAATCTCTAACCCTTGTAATAATCGAGGTTTAAATATGGTTATTATATTATATACTTATACTCACCAAAGGGGACATTTTTCCAACGGCCTTATCATCCTTTATCTGAATTAGCCATCATTCAATATATATGATGTCAGCTAATAAATCGAGAGAGAGAGAGAGAGAGAGAGAGAGAGAGAGAGAGAGAGAGAGAGAGAGAGAGAGAGAGAGAGAGAGAGAGAGAGAGGCATCACCTGATGGAAATGACTGCAGAAGAGGATTAAGGATGTAGTAAGACCAACAAGAATCGAAGACCAAACGATCGTACTAGTAATAGGAAGCTCACTGTCATTGCATCATATACTGAGTTTAGCGGACATGCATGAATTGTTTCTCATCAAAGAGAAAAAAAAAAGGAAAAACAAAAAAAAAGACGACGACCGTAGACCTTTTTATGCTGTGAAGCAAATAAAAAGCAATGGTGGATAATGGGCCAAACGCGACGAAGAGTAAAGGTTCTCCGACTCCATAGTAGCTCAAACGAAAAGGTGGACACTGCAAACAAATCATACTCAGCATAACATGAATTAACTGGTCCGATCTTTATAATGCAACAATCGAAAATTGTATACGTACAATGTGTTATATACAACTTAGGCGTACATTTGGTTAACAAGTTATAAGAATTAACCAATATAGGATTAAATTATCTAATGAAACACAATTGTATTATTGGACCATGGAAGGTTTAAAAGAAAATTCCTATAAGACAAGATATTTGTCGGTAAATCTTACTATTTGAAAAAATCAGAGTATAGTATTTTATTCAACATTATTTAACTACTTATATAATTATGATTTTACATTGAGTGTTACCAATATATACAATGATTGTTATTTCAATAAGTTAATTTGTCCCAACAGTTAAGAGTGTTGAATGAACTAAGACGTCTCAAGCCCAATTCCTAATAAATGCATTTTTGATCTATTATTCATCAAATGGATATTGATTAATTATTTCAGTAAATTATAGTAGAGGGTCAATTGAACAGGCATAATATTAATCTATTTTATATTGGGTTTTCATAACTAAATATTAGTTGAATGGTACCTTGGTAAATGGTGATTTAATTAAGAAAGTTTTCATCCATGTTATTTTTTGTAATGATCGAGATCAAATCTTATTAAATTAATGGTGATTAGAGTATATCCCAAACAACGAACAAAATCAAATTATTTAATTAATTATGGCTAGTTTATCCAACCAAACAAGTTCTTAATAAAGAAAGAGGGAGAATTGTGGAGATACATAAATATTATTTATTAGGACATAAGTACATAAATATATATATATATATACATATATATATATACATATATATATATATATATATATATATATATATATATATATATATATATATATATATATATATGTATACACTCCCTCCGTTCCAGCAGGGCCGTCTCAACCACTAGGCCAATTAGGCAATTGCCTAGGGCCCCACATTAAGTGGGGCCCACCTGTACATTTTTTTTTTTGTTAATACTTGTTATATATTATATAAAAAAATTGTATACATTAGACATTAATTTTTTATATTATAAACTTTATATTTATTGTAGGCCTCTCAATTAATTAATATAATAGACAATTAATAATATATGTTTATTTAATTATGTGGGTCCTCGGTTACTTTGACCTAAATATTTCACTCAATCATTATCACCATTTCTTTCCACCTGACTTCAATAGGTGAAAATGTGTTGTGTTATAACCTTTTCCTTATTTTTTTGCCTTTCATTGGTTTTTATACTATTTTTTTTGGTAGACACATTTGATTTTTATTTTATTTTTCACTTTTCTTTTATAATTTATAAAAAAAATTATACAAAATAAAACATATGTATATAATATTAGGGCCCAAGTTTTGCTTCGCCCAACCCCAGTATCCTAAGATCGACCTTAATTTGATGAAAAAAAACCAAACTACTAAAAATAAATATTTTTTTGTTAGTTAATTACTTAATTATACTATAAACACCCTAAAATTTCTACTTGTTACTAAAATTTCACTCATTTTTCTAATATTGAATTAAAATTTATCAATTTCAATTTTTTTATTTGTTCTATTATTTAAAAAAAATATTGTTGATGAATTTGAATTTGTTTATGTAAATATTTTTACAAAAACCGCAACCTTGTGAATTTACTTGTGCGCTAATACATAATTTTCTGGTCCTACAATAAAGAATATTCTCATTTACTATTTTAGTTTGGTAAAATTTATTTTTATTTTATATTATTCTTTTTGCATTAATTAATGCATTGCATCAATAAAAAAATAAAAACTATATTTTAATTATAGGGGCCCAATATTTTCGCTTCGCCTAGGGCCCCCAGCATGCTAGAGCCGGCCCTGCGTTCCAGAATAATTGTCGTTTTAGGTTATTGCGCACATATTAAGAAAACTAATAAATATGCGTGGATTTTAGGAAAATACATATAATATGACTAAAATACCCATGTAATTAATTATATACGAACTAATTAAGAGTAATAATTAATACGGGCATAGTTGATAAAACAATAATTAATGCATTATTGGAATTTTAAAGTGACAGATAATACTTTCCAAAGCAACAATTAATTTGGAACGGAGGGAGTATATATTTTTACCTGATAAAGGAAGGAGCAAAATACTGCGGAAGCTAATAATATCATAGAACGTGGATTTCTGGCCTCAACCGCTACCCATGCAAGGCCCAAGAAACCAAGCACAAGAATCAACCATGCAATAATATTGATCCCTGTTCGACTAATTTATTCACAACCATATAATTATATTAGCCATAAATCTTTATCTTCAATTAAACAAGGATAAATTACAACCACTCCTTATGTATAGTCAAATTATAGAAAAACCCTTCATGTTTGGGTAATTACAATATTTAGTGGAATCTTCTAGATTATATGAAATATACTCTATTTTGTACCCGTTTTTATCTCATTCGAGCTCCACATTTTGAAGCTAGATATATTTTTTTGCCTTGTATATATCAGATTGTGGTGCATCAGAAACTGTATTTTTAAATAAAACGAGTACAAATTAGAGAACATTCCACGAAATCTAGATGATTATGTTGGACTTGACACCATAAGGGTGGAAATATAAAAACATTCATAGTTGAGGGGTAGATGTAATTATTCAAACATGAGGGGTTTTTTCGTAATTTAATCATACCTCAGTTGTAATTTACCCCTTAAACAATAATTAATAATTAAATTTCTTAATTTAATTTACCTCCCAAATAGATTGATAACCGATTCCTTTTTGTTTACATCCACTCCTGTATCGAAATCGTAAACATCGTTGCTGGATCGGAGCCCCCAATATATAACCAAATGAGTTAAAAAAAAATCTGGTTTTCGATTATCAAACTGAAACTTTTGTTTTCAAAATAAGACAAGGAAATTTGATTAATAATGTGACTTTTAATTCTGACCTTAAGTTAAGCCAAACAATTACGAGTACATACGACGCCAAGATCTTGAAATAACGCGCCGAAGAATAAAGCCCCGTTTGCCAATAAGCAGCAGCGGTTCCCACCTGAACCATCAAACATGAACTTGTTCATTGATACTAATCGTTTCTTTTTTTAGCTTTGTACAAGGATCAAGGATTTCGTTAAATGCAAATTGATTTAATTAGAAAAATGTATGTTTTTAGACTAAAATGCCCTTATCCATTAGTTAACGAGGGACATTGATGGAGAAAGTACTTAATAAGAGCAGAACTGCGAATCATGTAATTAATGCTGTATTGGAATTATAAAGTAACAAAGTAATTACTACAATGACTTACAGTGACTGGGATTAAAGCAACGGTGTACATTGGTAATTTGGCGGCCCTCCATATTAAAGTTGCTCTAGATACATCATCATCTCTTGTTTTGGTTTCGTCTTCTGGCGTCACATCATCTGCATGTAAATTGCCGGTAACTGCATAATTTTCTTGAATAGAACTCAACATTGTTGTTGTGAATGCCTTGTTGTGACATCCTTTAGTAGTACGAGTCCAGCTGTAGCTCCGGAATCGCCTCTGGGTTTGTTCACCATGTGGAATACATGAGAATATTGAATGCTTCCTGCAAGTTTGAGAGGTTTAGCCAGTTTTTTTTTTTTGGTAATGAAGGCACCCGTAGCCAACCATCTAGGTGCACTGGAGTTTTACCATTAATTATACATAACATGGTTATTTGTCAGAAAAATCTCTTGCAACTGAAAATTGAGTAACTTCTTGCAATAAATAATATCCCGGTACAAGAATACTAATGAATAATCGTTTGTTGTGTAATAATGGGTGTTGATTTTAGCAAAATGGTCGAGACAATATTGCACCGCACCGATACTCGAAGTCTTATAGTAGCGTTTTTTTTATAGTGACATATATAATAGTTTCGAGATACGACAAATCTACGAACCCTGTTTTGAATTTTCAATACGGACACATAAGGAAATATTCACAAGGAATATTTTCGAGCAAAGGATAGGAGACACCTCAAAAGATTAATATCGAATTGAGTGATTCAAATGGAGGATTTTGGATTGTATTTATAGATTCTCAATAGTTTGTAGCCAACCAATTGCAACATTTAGGAAAATAATTTCATAACAAGGTGTCATACTTTTTCATATAAACCAAATACCTTATTCTCAGTCGAATAGATTTTACTTTTTTTTTTTAAATTTAAATTGGCACCATTATTGTGGCCTAATGGCGTCTAAACACATCCATATTTTTAATGGTGAATCTTCACATATTATTGTTCGTAATAAATATTTTAAGTAATTTATTAATTTCTTATTCTTAAAAAAATAATTTTGGAAAAACAAATTTAAAAATCCATAATAGCTAAATTTTTATTTTTTTCAATTGTTTCAAATTTTATTTGAATAACTTAATGTTTATTCTTATATTTAGCATCGTCAGGTCGACTCACCTAAAAATATGTATGATTTGAAAGATTTTACTAAGACCATTTCAAATGGAGAATGCTAGGAAATTGAATGATATCCAAATTATACCTTTGATATATATATATATATATATATATATATATATATATATATATATATATATAAAATAAATTCCAATATTATTACTTCTTTGTAATTTTTTTCGTTGTAGATACTCTAAGTCTTTTAGAAGAAAATAGTCAACTATTTAGGGGTGAGAATCTGCTCAACTTGAAGAGGATCCGGTCTAGATTAATGTGGATCGGATCCAAAATGAACCGGATTCAAAATCAACTGTTAGAAATGGACCTAAAGCGGATCGGACTTGGACAAGTCCTCCGTATATTAATCTATTGCAATTTTTACGCAACTTATATGGACTAATATGTGGATCATTCATGGATCCGGCATGTACCCGTTAAGGAAGAACCAACATGAATCCACCATGATCCGACGTACAATTTTCAAAAATCCATTATAAATTAATCGAAAAAATATAGCTTTCATCCCTCAAATTTGCACGATTTCACATTTGGTCCCATGTTAAAAAAAAACACATTTTGTCTCTCATGTTCAGAAATTCACAATTTTTAGTCATTTCTTTCAAATTTGACATTAGTACTTACATAATCAAGCGTGTGCCCATCACTGTCTTAACTGACGGACTAATGGTATAAATTGACGAAAATGACTGAAATTGTTAAATTACTTAAATTAATCGAAAAAATATAGCTTTCATCCCTCAAATTTGCACGATTTCACATTTGGTCCCATGTTAAAAAAAAACACATTTTGTCTCTCATGTTCAGAAATTCACAATTTTTAGTCATTTCTTTCAAATTTGACATTAGTACTTACATAATCAAGCGTGTGCCCATCACTGTCTTAACTGACGGACTAATGGTATAAATTGACGAAAATGACTGAAATTGTTAAATTACTGAAACATTACAGACCAAATGTATTTTTTGTGAACATGGAGAACCAAATATGAAATCAGTGCAAACTTTTCTCATAAATCAATACAAAGTATCTTACAAATTCATACTCACACACACTAACACTAACACCCATATTTTTCACACAACTACTATGAATCATTACTTGCAAGTGTAATTTTACAAGGGGATAAGAAAGGAAGAGTGAGAGAGTTTCCTAAAAATGCACAAAATTAATCAAAATACTGACTCGACGAGATAGGAAACTCTGTAACTCACCTGTCAACTCGGGGGCCACTCACAAGGTGTTCTTGATTGATTTTCTTGATTCCATAACCGCTGTTAACTTTGAGTAATGCGGATGAAGCTGCCATAGCTGAACCCACCCAACAGCAACTCGGTCAAGATATGAAATATTTATGCCTAAATATCAAGAAATGTATACTCATATTTGCATTTTTGTATGCTTATTATTCTTCTTGATTATGGAATAATTTAATAACTCAGTGACCACGTGGAATTTTATATGCCGTATCGTGTATCGTGTATCGTGCGCTAAGTAAACAATTCGAATTTTCAAATAACACTATTTTATTACGACTGAGCTCATCATATATATATCATAATAATGAAATATACATTAATACATGCCAGGTTTCAGTGTTGGATATTTTAATATTAATTTATTAGTCACGCAGGATGGGTCTCAAAGGTGGTATGTAATTGGAGATTTGATATGAATATTTAAGTAGATTCTCTCGAAATCATCTGTTGGTGAATTAGAAATTAATAAATTAATTAATATATTTAAGGGGCTTTTTGAGAAAACTCCCTCACTACTTTTTTTAATTGAGGGAGGCCCAAAATATTTTAGTCCATTTGAGAAAAGTCCACACCCATTTTCAGCTATTATATTTTCCAGCTTTACCCCCGCCCGCCACCTCATCACTGGGTCAGCGCTCCAGGATTTTTTATTTATTTTTTTTTTCCGTGTTTTTAATCGACTATGAAGCATAGTCGATTAGTCTTAATTCGACTATGTTTCATAGTCGATTAAGGAAAATCTTTAACTTTTTAATTTTATTTTTTGTTTTTTTAATATTTTTTCTATATCAGGTATATTAATCGACTATGATGAAACATAGTCGATTAAGAAATATACTACTAAAAATAACAACTTACAACTGCGAAAAAATGCAAAATCAACTATATTTTACAAAAAACGAAAAATATACAAACGTTATAAATGATTTATACAATTGAAATCAATAAACAAGAAATCCAAAAAAATAAAAAAACTGGAGTCGATCAACCTTAAATCAAATACCAGAACATAGTCGATTAGCTTAATCAACTATGAACATGTACATAGTCGATTTAGGTTTCAGCCTGCGCGAAATTCTCTACACGCGCTGTCCTCCGTTCATCCACTAAAAAACCCAAAAACAACCTCCCCATCGTCCCCACACCACCCAGAGCTCCTGCCATGGCCGAACCCATCGGATTTTGAGCATGTTCAGCTCCACCAATTAAGAAAACCAATTTAAATTAATTTAATTTAATCCCAAAAGCAACACGCATAATTCCTCTTTCCCGCAGCTCCGGCACATCCTGCTGCTCGCCGCCGCTGAAATGCATCCGTCTCCGACGATGTTTGCGTCGTCCGATGCAGCGCTCTCCAAAACCGCCGCCGCCGCCAGCAGACCCATCGCAATCTTCCACCCAAAACCGCCGCCGCCAGCAAACCCATCGCAATCCTCCACCCAAAACTGCCGCCACCAACAGACCCATCGCAACACCGGCGACGGCGATGGATTCCTCACTCCGGCAGCTGACGCGTCCGCGGGGACGACGGCGGCGGCGGCGGCGGAATCCTCCTTACTCTCCTGTTGAGCTTTCTCCTGTTGAGCTTTCTCGCTAATTTGTGTGTGTGTGTGTGTGTTTTTGTGTGTGCGAGAGAAAGAGGAGAGAGAGAGAGAGAGAGAGAGAGAGAGAGAGAGAGAGAGAGAGAGAAAAGAGATAAGAGTGAGAATGTGATGTGGGTTGGTTGGGGGAAGAGGCTATAATTTAGGGGTAATAATGGTGGTTTGGGAATTATTAAATAATATTTAGGTAGAATATTAGGTAAGGGGGTTTTCTCTAATTATTTTGGGAGGGGGGTTTTTCTTAACTCATTTACCTAGATGAGGGGGTATTGCTAATTATCCCTATATTTAATTATGGAAATAATAGGAGAAAAATGTTGAGATATTATATTTATTGTTTATTTAATTAGACGAATAATAATTTGGTTAGGAGAATAGTTAGGTGGTGTTTGCAAACGCTTTTTGAAAGTGATTATGAGCTTTTTTTTGCTCATAATCTTTTTTCAGGTGTTTGCAAAATCAACTTTTGCTTTTGCTTCACTTAAAATAATCTGCTTTAAGCTATTTTTTTAAAAGCACCCATAACGGTATAACCCTGTTTTTTCTATTTAAGTTCATTTTCCGGAATATTTGCAAACACCCTCAACTTTTAGAAATAAGCACTTAAAACTAACTTAAATCACAATCACTAACTTCTACTTTTAAATAATCATTTGCAAACACCACCTTAGTCATGTGGATGCTTAGGTGGTGTTTGCAAATGATTATTTAAAAGTAGAAGTTAGTGATTGTAATTTAAGTTTGTTTTAAGTGCTTATTTCTAAAAGTTGGGTGTGTTTGCAAATATTTTGGAAAATAAACTTAAATAAAATAGGGATTATTAGACAAAACCCCCTCATTAGATATGTACAATTAAGATGGGTCCAAAAAAAATTCATCTTATTGAGATAAATCCAAAATATTTTTATTCAGCCAAAAATAATATAAATTTCCTATAATATCCTTTCTTATTTTCTTTTACCCTAGTAACCATTGACCGTCTATTTTTTCTCCAATTTCTTTCTCTCTTCCTTCTCTCCAATCCCACACTCGTCTCTTTCTCTCATCACGGCTGCCCCTTTTTTCTCATCACCGCCGCCCCTGCCCCGCCCTCTTTCTTTTCTATCGCCTTTTTCAATTTCTCTGTAAATTATCGCCTTTTCTATCACGGGGGCGTGTTGAAAGTGAAGGGGGCGAGTCGGGAAGAGTTCGAGGGGTTCGTGAAGAGGGAGAGTACGAGGCCGTTGAGGAATCTTTCGACGCCGATTGCTTCGGCGCATCAGATGGGGAGTTGTCGGATGGGGGTGGATTCGGGGGGGTCGGGGGTGGACCCGAGGGGGGAGACTTGGGAGGTGGAGGGGCTGTTTGTGGCGGATACGAGTGTTTTTCCGACTGCTTTGGGGGTGAATCCGATGGTTACGGTTCAGGCGATTGCTTACTGCACTGCACAATCTGTTCTTGAAATTCTTGGCGGGAAGAAGTTTGTGTAGCAGGACAAAGTGTTTGGTTTGTGATTAATTTATTATTCTTGTAAGAGTAAATAATGAAAAATGTGGTTTTCTTGTGTCATAAAACTGGACGAAGTTCTTGTTGGCATTTTCACATACACCTTGTGGGCAACAATTACAAACTAGGGCTTGTAATTTGATTGTACAGTAGTAACTAGAAATATGAATAAATAGTCTCATTTTTAGTGGATTTGGTTAATTTCGTAGTAGATTACGTTAATATTTTAGTGGTTTTCTATATTTTTATAGTGATTTTCTATATTTTTATAGTGGTTTTTGATGAGTTTAATAGTTGTGGATTTCGTTAATATTAGTGGTTTTCGTTACTTTGTAGTTGATTTTCGGTAAGTTTTTAGTTGATTTAGATGTAATTTGAGTGGATTTTGTCTTTGAAAATTGGAATTGTTTTGTAGTGGATTAGGTTAATTTGTACTGGATTACGTTAATATTTTAGTGGTTTTCGTATTTTATAGTGGTTTTCGATGAGTTTACTAGAGTGGATTTTGTTAACATTAGTGGATTTCGTTAATTTCTAGTTGTTCTCGGTAAGTTTTTAGTGGATTTCGATATAATTTGAGTGGATTTTTTTTTGTCTTCGAAACGAGGAATTTTTTGTAGTGGATTAGGTTAATTTTATAGTGGTTTTTGCTTTCAGAATGAATTTTATTTCGTATGAATTAAATTGACACGTTGTTGTCTTCTTTTTCTTTTTGTTAGGTTTTTGAACAGGCGGCGATGGCACAAGGGTGATTAGGTTTGGTGATGTTCGGGTAACTCTACTATTTGTTAGTGGTGATGACGTTTGTTGGTGACTTTAAAAAAAAAAAACCAGAGTACTAGTAGTACTTTTCTTAGAATTGTTATAACACATTGTTTTTCTTTTAGTATCGATGATTGTGGAAGTTTTGTAGTTAATTACATTTAATTTCATAGTGGGATTATGTTAATTTTATTTGAATTATGTTAATTTAATAGTTAATTTCGATATATTTATAGTGGATTTCGATAAATATGTAGCGAATTTCAATTTGATAACCTGGTAAAAAAAATTAAAAAAATATTATTTAATAAAACATTGAAAAAAACAAAAGAAATTTAGTTTTTTAATCAAAATAAAAACTAAAAAAATTAAATAAAACATTTTTTTCCGAAAAAATTCGAAAAAATCGAAAAGACGATTTGAAAAAGATGAAATTAAAAAACTGAAAATAAAATAAAACCATTTTAAAAAAATTAAAATGAAAAATATAAATAGGAAAAAACTAATTTAAAATAAAAATAAAAATTAAAAATCAATCAAATTTAAAATAAATATAAAAAAAATAAAGAAATCTAAAAAACCCTAAATGGAGGTAATCTGCATTTAATGAGATTAGTTAGGGCATTTTGGGTAGTTTATGTCATTTGGGTTTATGTCAAAAATCACATTAAAATTTGGATTTATTAAGAAGTCAAAATCCAATGAGGGGTGTTGGTCATATAGCCCCAATAAAAAAACAGGGTTATTGGTGCTTTTAAAAAAATAGCTTAAAGCAGATTATTTTAAGAGAAGCAAAAATAAAAGTTGATTTTATAAACACCTGAAAACATATTATGAGCAAAAAAAGCTCATAATCACTTTCAAAAAGCGTTTGCAAACACCACATTAATTGGTTGTTGGTAGTAGGTTACTTTTCTCCTAAATTAGGACAACATTTGTTATTTGGTTTTCTACTTAAGTTGTAATACTATTATTATGTTAAACGAAAAACATCGTTTATCGATTTTTCCAACAAAAAAGACATCATTAAAATTTAAAAGTATGGAGGTGTGTAGACACTCGTTGAATCAAATAGGTGTATAATACCTTTTCATGAATTATTTTTCTAAGATTTGTAATTATTGACGACAACTATTAAGAATCTATGAATAGACCCTATAATCCACCATTTGAAATACTTGATTTTCACTCCATTCCATATTTGTTTATTGGAGTTCTTCTTTCTCTAGCCGGAAAACATTATTTGTGAATATTGTCTTCCGTATTGTCATTGATAGTTCAAAAAAACATTTGAGGGTTCATAGATTTTGAGATTTGCAGTGCTACAATATCGAAATAAAGTCATTGTATCTTGGGAGACAATTGCTACAAACTGCTAGCACCAGTGCGAAATAATAATGTCTTAATAAGGACAGAGAATCGAGTTCTTATCTCTACCATTTTGTTAAAATCACCGCCCTTTGTGATGGAATAATTTAATAGCTCTGTGACCACATGAAAACAAATGCTAATTAAACACAATAATTGAATTAGCTGGCTAATTTTAATTTATGTTTCTCGTGTCATGTGCGCTAACTAAACAATTCAAAATTTCTAGTGACACTATTTTATTACGACTGAGCTCATCATATATCTATGATAGCAATATAATGAAATACATTAATACATGTTATAAATAATATTAAACCACCTAAATTTTACCTGTTTTAGCGGATTTCTACTCAACGAAAGCACGATTACACCCAAACTCGTTATTTTGGTCTCGTTGTCTGCCTATTTTCAGGTCATTTTGGCTGGAATTCACTACATGTGCATTTGCACATGGCTATTTTAAGGGATTAATTGTCTTTTTAAATCAAAATACTCAAACCCTTTATTAATGGCTATTTTAAGGGCTTAATTGTCTTTTTAAATCAAAATCCTTAAACCCTTTTTTAATTAATCGTCGAAATTTTCTTGTGTTGACTTCTTTTTCCTTCTTCCTCTCCATTCTTCTCTTCATCTTCATCATTTTTCCTTCATTTCATGTGTTCTTCTTCAAAATCACAATCCCTAATTATTTCATTTTCTTCCATTTCTCTTGAAATGTTACTTATTTGAGAAGAATCCAGATAACTTGGGTTGCCTTTTCTTGATGTTCAAAAGATTTTTTTAGTTTAAGCAACTGAATCAGGGAGTGACATAACGCCAAATACATGGCAATTGAATCAAGAGAAGAGCTCGATCTCTCAAAATTTGCTTGCTCTTTGCTTCTTGAAAGAGATCTTCCGCCATTTTCATTTGCCCTGAACTTGCGAAAGTGTTTGTAAAAAAATTGTTTCTAGAATTGTTGTTATATTCGTAAATTTGATAGCCTTTTCATGTACGTGTGTTGCTTTGATTCATGTACGCTTGTCTATTTTTTCGAATTTTTGTGTAGAGGCTAGCTGAATGAATGTAAGTAAAAATTTCCGACTGAAATAGAATTTCAGGGGAATTAGACGACTTGGACAAGTTTTAAATCTAGTTCAATTAAGTCCTCACAACTTTTAATTTCACCCCCAAATTTATTCAGATAAAAAGACGAAAAAGTCCATGGACATGGCCATGTGCCTCGCACATGTGCCGGAATATTCTAATATTCGACTGGAAATTAGACGTAGGTGGTTAAGTGACTCAAAAAAAACGAGTTTGGGTGTGTCCGTGCAACTTTTGATAATCCACAAAATCGGACAAAGTTTAGGTGATTTAATGCTATTTATCCTAATTATTTAGTCATTTGTGATTGGTCCCAAAGGTGATACTAGGAAAAATATAAAATGCAAATTCTTTAAGATAGTAATTAAAAGGTGGAATCACAAAATTAAAGTTATTTTTTATTAATGTACTACCGATCAAATTGGATCTTATAATAAGTGTGTATATCAATGCCAAAGTTCACATCTTTGGAAACCTGCAAAAGTATCCAAAGCTGACTTGGATATTTAATCTGCATCTCAAAATATTTGAGACGTTATAATTTTTTATCTATTAATTAGTAAAACTATGTTTAGATGATCTGTGTATATAATATATAAAAGTTGAATCTCATTTTATATGGACCAGACAATTTGTTAAATACTCCTGAGATTTTGTCAATTTGCTAAAAGTCTTGTATTATTTTTACATGTAATTGCTTCTGGCTTTTTCTCCCCGTCCCATTAATTCCTTCTCTCTTCCCATTTCTCTTCATTTCTGATAAAAATATATTGTCATATATTCGATAATTTAGATGCACTGCCATCGTCTTCTCCTATCACCGTCGTCATCAAATAAAAATTGACTAGCACACACACACACACAAACACACACACACACACACACACAATCATAGAGACATTCAAGCATAACCATTGTTGGAAAATCAGATATGCGTATTTTGTAAGTACACATTTGGAAGGATATGAACAGTAGTTGCTGGTTCACTTTGTTCAGCTATAGGATCGGGAGAGATGATTGTGAATAAGTATTCCATGGAAGAGGGCAACCAAACATAACTAAGTTCTGTAAGTGTAACTGAGCTCTCCTTATACTATATTTTCATGTGTATACAATTATTTGTCTGAAGAACCAGTCAGTAGAGAGAGTGATGGAGATCATTCATAACCTTGAAGAATTCTTAACAATATCGACCATTAATAATTTATGAACTATCCTCCATTAATTTGTGTTGTCTATTTTTTATTAAACATATTTTGGATAAATTACAAGAAACCCTTGAACTAAGCTCAAATTACATGAAAATCCCACACATGTCCCAAATTACCAAAAAAACTTAAAAGTTTGTTGGCGTCTTACATAATAGGGGCTCTTTGACATAACCCCCCTTACTTTTTTTAATGGGGATAGGCCCAAAATATTTTAGACCATTTGAGAAAAGCCCATAATCCAATTCAGCCATTGTGTTTACCAGCTTTACCCCCGCCCGCCACCTCATCACAGCTGGGCACGCGCTCCAGCGATTTTTTATTTTTATTTTTTCCGTTTTTTTAATCGACTATGAAGCATAGTCGATTAGTCTTAAATCGACTATGCTTCATAGTCGATTAAAGAAAATCTTTAATTTTTTAATTTTTTTTGTTTCTAATTTTGTTTTTAAATTTTTTTTGGTTTTTTTAATTTTTTTCTCTATCAGATTTTGGAGCATAGTAAGGAGTCCCGCTCGAATTTCGAAATTGTTGGCTTCAATGGGGGGCTGCTGGATGCTCGATTGGAACCCATTGAGTGTTGGAACGGTGTACTCATGCAATGCTCGTTGACGATGTGGTGGATTAATGAGCTGCTGTTGCTCTTGCTCGTTGACGATATTTCCTGCCGCATTCAGTAGGTGCCCTTGGTCATCTCCCCTACGATTATTCTCTTCTTCCATTCGCATAAAACGTACCTAAAACAAAAATCATAAAAATAAACTAATTAAATAAAATAAATAAAATGGCTGAAGTAAGAAAAATTGCTCAAATTTAATATTAGGATAAATAAATAATTTAGCCGTATTCCCCGGCAACGGCGCCAAAAACTTGTTGGGTGCTAAATACCAACACGCAAGTGCACGTATCGCAAACAAGTAATAAAGTGGACTCGTGAGAGTCGGATGTCGATCCCACAGGAATACGCAAATTACCTAATCCTAAGTACCAAATTCTAACAATTATGATTTTTATCCAGCCTACGCAAGTTTGTCAAATTAAATCAATTAAACAACTAAACTAATTAAGAAAGCAAATAACACGGGAAAATATCAATTAAAACGGACCTAGGATTTTATCTTCCCCCTATGCAGAATTGCTCACCCAAAACCCCTCAATTATGAAATATATGATTCATGATTATTAACCCGAGACACTAATTTACTCATAACCCGCTGTCGCGTGTATTATGAGTCTATTATTCATAAACGATTCACTATATGTCTATGCAAACCAATTATGAATAAAACATTAACTAACAAGTCTCGTAAATGGCTACCTAAGGTGATATCTGTATGTCTACGACACCACATGCAATTGACACACTCATCCGGTGAAAACTACTCGAAGGTTCTTCTACTTACCGTCTAATTATCAAAATAGCTCTGTCGAGTCAATCCCAATAATCACAGATAAAGCACATAAATTGATCAAGTTCATGCACTAACAATCATATCAAGTAGAAGAAATAATCATAAAATCATAATTGCATAATCTCAAGAAAACGGGTTCACCATCCCC